AGCTGTTTTTTCACAAAGCAAACTCGCTCTTACTGGAAAAAGTGGGAAAGGTTCCATTAAAGGAGCAAACACAGCAAACACAAAACACTCGTTCAATCTGAACCTGGAGTCTAGTTTTAACAAGAGTTTTTACACACCTTTGTTCAAATGTTTACAGCACGAATGTGACTCATGATGACTTTCTATTTAATTATATTTATTCTTATATTTTGTATCGTATTATTTCCTGTTGTGTTATTGTAACAGTTGTAACCATGGTTACATGTGCGCTTCAGAAGTGCCACACAGCGCGAAACATCGTAGAGCGTCCCATCGCTTCCTCGTGTTTCCTTCCTTCTCAAAGTTCCTCTCTTCTGAACTTGGTGTCCCAGTTGATCATCTCTGTGTGATCCTACATGTGAAGCTGATGGGAGCAGTTTCAGCTGCTTTCACTTCATCTTCTCGTTTTTTAACTTCTGCACTCACTTCAACCCAGAGGTCACCTCACACTTTCGCCTTATCGTCTTTTTGATGGTCAGGGTAGTAAAAATTCCCTACTGATGTAATTTTATCTCCATTTCAAAGTCAAAGTCAAAGTAAACTTTATTGTCATCTCTGCTGTATAATTACAGTATATAGAGAGACGATGAGGCTCCAGCTACATTCAGTGCTAAAAACAGCAATAAATATAAGAAGAGTAAGAAATAAATATACACTGTAAGACTAGGGTAAGGTAAAGGGAATAAATATACATTTATGGTAAAAAGGATCAATAACAGTTCTAAATGTACAATTTACAGTTGAATTAATATTTTTAATGAAAGATCCATAACAGTGTTATCATTTGAAAATAAGTGACGTACAAACAGAGGGAGCATTTCTGAGTGTGAGCTCACCAACACACGTTTACACTTGGTTTGTCTTCACAGAGAAAAACAAACTTCCTGCTGCTGATGTTTCACAATAAAAGAAACAAAAACTGTAAATACATTTGATTGTATTGGGGAAAATGTCTCAATGTGTCTAGTATTAAAATAAGTGTGTATAACTATAATGAGTGTCTAACTTGTATAAGGAGTATTTAGTAAATGTGAATATAACATTTCCATGGTGAAGAAGCACCTTCATAACAGCGAAAAAAAAACCCCACACAGTTATACCTGACGTGAGGTCTCTGAGCATCTAATCCTGCTTCACACACAGGTTTCTGGACTGTTCCAGAGAAACTATCAGGATCGCTGCCCTCCAGTGGTCTGTCAGTAACTACAACTCTCCACATACAATAATACTGACGTTAGGACAGATTCACTGCAGCATTTTAGCACTACTGTTAGTCAGTGTGATAATGATGCGTTATATGTGAACACAGACAATATTAAACACTGACATCAGCAGATTTCATATCTTCACACTTGTGAACTTTAGTCTGAGTCAGACTCAGCCTGAGCAGTCAGATGACATATTCTGAAACCAGCACATGAAGGTGTGGCCCTCTCCCAGTCTTCAGGTGTAGTCCCGCCTCCTTCCAGGAAGCAGCTCACCTGTGTGTTTGTGTTCTGAGAAAAATGGTTTCAGCTTTCGTCTGCAGACAGCTGATGATAATGAAATATTCTATTTATAAAAATATTAAATTATTGCTTCCTAGAGTTATTATAAATTAAGCTCTCAGTCAACACCAAATGTCACATTCTCTCCGTTTTGATAGATTCAGGGGCGGAACAGAATTTTATTGACTCCGAGTTAGCTTACCACCTTCAGCTAGAGCAGGAACCGCTTCCCCACACTCTGCATGTCACTGCCTTATCCGGCCAGCACCTACCCGACATTACTCATGTCACTGAGCCCGTCATTCTCACTCTGTCTGGCAACCACTCCGAGGAAATTTTTTTTTTTTGCCTGTCCCGTTTGGCTCTTTTGCCATCAGAATTATTGTCTAAAGGCAAGGAAAGATGCTGTGAGTTTATTCTGTTATCATATGTTACCTTATATTTGTAATCAAAGTACACTGAACAAAAATATAAACGCAACACCTTTGTTACTGCTCCCATTTCCCATGGGATGGACGTAGAGACCTAAAATTCATTCGAGATACACAATATAACCATCCCTCCCAAACAGTGGTCACAAATCAGTCCAAATGTGTGGTAGTGGGCACATCTGCTATATTGAGATAATCCATCCCACCTCACAGGTGTGCCACATCAGGATGCTGATCTGACATCATGAGTGGTGCACAGGTGTACCTCAGACTGCCCACAACAAAAGGCCACCCTGGAATGTGCAGACAATAATATCTGTGACCTCCTGCTGACCAAAAGGATGATGAAAGCGGGAAGCTTAGAACACAAGAAACAGATCTTTCAGATAGGATGTATCTGTAATAAAACCTCCCCCAGCACAGAGTGGCCAGAGGCAAAGGAATGGCTTTGATCCTACTGCTTGAGCTAAGACTTTACAAATTTATGACAATGACAACATTCAACAATTAGTCGTAACATTTCCCCCCCTTTTTGTCACTGTATACTTAAATTTCAACTTATGCTGGACAGACACTGTGCGGTTTTTTCAGTCGTACGATTCAGCTCCTGGTCAAACTGCACGATTGACTCGCAGGGGTTAGAAGTTCGTAGGTCACGTTGCAGGTCTCACACTATACGGCCCGATGCTCTGATGCGACCTGAGTGCTCACACTGTGCGTCCATAACATGAAGGTTATAACAGAAAATCTGTCGCTCTCTCCCTCTCTGTCTTTCACTCACACAGACACACCACCACCATCAGCTTTGCTAAATTGCTAATGAAAAACATTGATCAGGCAGCTGTGATTGAGCAGCAATGTAATGTAGTAATGTAATGTAGTAGAGAGTATTTTAAATTCAGGGAATTTAAAATAGAAAGTAGCTCGTCCACAGAAGGACTGGTAGCTCCCCTTACGATAAGGGTTCAGATCGCGCGAACAGGTGTGAATGTGAATGTGTGTGTTTAGTTAGTTTGTTTGTTTGCTTGTTTTAATCAATTTTAAATCATGCTTTTTATCTGTTTTTGTTTCTAATGTCTTTGTAAAGCACTTTGAATCACCTTGTTGTTGAATTGTGCTATACAAATAAATTTGCCTTGCCTAGTGTAAATCCAACTATTTTCACGGTTGTTGAGGTCGTGATAATTTTGTGAGGCCACAGCGAAAAGGCTGGGGTAAGCTTGCCATAGTTCTACAAGTTGTGCCTCCATCGCTTGTGTCCAGATCACACGCTGCACTGCCGTGCTGCGCCGTCTTTTTCGCTGACGTTTGTGTTTGCGCGTGCGCAGTGTGAGAAACTGCAGTGACACCCTCGCGACCAAGCGATTGATGATCGTGAGCTGGTCGTGAGGTGTCAATCGCTTCTCGTTACCCCACGTATACTACACGATGCACGACGCACGATGAAGGCCAAAATCGGGCCGATCGCCAAAACGGTCGCACGACCCAAAAATCGGCTCAAAATGGCCCAAAAATCGCACAGTGTGAGCCCAGCATTATGCACCCTTGTTTTTGACAGTGTAGATTTCATTCATACACAGCTCCTCATTCACATTCACATTCACATTCACCTTCTATCGCTGCAAAAGTTCACACTTAATTCATGCAAGCAGTTAACCTGCTTCACATTGATCTCATTCAAAGTAAACTACAACTTACAAGTAAACAAATGAATGTCAACAGTCAAACAAGAAGAATCAACATTCTCAAAAATCATATGTCACTACAGTCCAACTGTATACAGACACGGGCACTCAAACAAATCGGTTGATTTTATTGCTTTCATGTGGCTTTCAGCCTGGTCAACACTCTTCTTTATGACGTCTATCAACCCCTCAAATCTCCTCACTGCAGGCATCCTGTGGGGGTTAGAGTCAACTGGTGAATCATCTGCATTTGCAACTCTTCTCCTTTCCTGTTGTCACAGCAGAAAAAGATTTCTTTTATTTACAAAGAAATTTATTTACAAATAAATCAAAAACTTCAACCAGCTTAGAGAAGGTGACATGATGTAAATGTAGACAAAAGGCTTCTCTGTTTACATCTCTCCCTCACACAGGCGCTTCTCTGCAGAGCATCAAATCTGCATAGCAAAGTGACACACTTTAGGTGATCTTCATCCTTAGGAAAAGTGGTGTCAGCTATTTCTCCTAGCATTTGTGCTGTTCACAGAACCACAATTCCATCGTTGGACCTCCTCTGCGCTGTCACTCTTGGAAGCACATTCCCTTCATTCCTCAGGTTCTCATGTTCCAAAGCCACGGACGATTTAAGGCAGAGCATGTCATACACCTTAGTTGTCTTCCTCAATGTCAACGTCGAATCTCTTTAAGATTTTGCTGTGCGAAGTCTCCCCATGATGATCTCCAGTAAACCCAGTAGCACAGCTCTCTGTAGGATGTGCTGAAGATGATCTCTGATCCTCCTAAAGCCTCTATCCTGGCCTCAGCTTCCATCTTGTGGACACTCTTCCTTACTTGCTTCTTCTCATGGTACCTGCAAATTAAAAATTGACGCTCCTCTCCCCACATGGCTTCCGTCATGTGTCAACTCCCTAAAAATTCTTCAGGGTTTGTCCCTTGGAGCAGCTTCACTCGACCTGTAACCCTGTGTAAAAGAAGACACATTAGTCAGCAATTAAATGTTTAGCTTGTTTAACTCCCAGCTCCACCCGGAGCCTGTATCCTAGAAAATAAAGTCTTTAAGTTAAAACAACGTCACATTTGCAACCAACTGTAGCTCATAAGTGTAATAAAGTATTCAGCATCAAAGACAAGTATCATTGCAGGTTTATTCTAAATTCATTAAACCCCTACTTTTTTCATAATTTGCTCCAAATCATTGAAAATCTGAACTACATTTCACGTTGTAATCAGTAACTTTCCTTAAGTTTGTCACTCAGCATGAGCTCAATAGTGGTTAGATAATGAGCCTCATGTAACTATTCAGTAACTATCTGTTCAATTGTCTGTCTGTGCTGAATCCTTTACAAGCACTCTTAAAGGAAACAAACACTAGCCAAACACACGGTTCGTCCTGGTGGTCAGGCGTCGGTCATCCAGATTCCAGAGGTGCTGTAAAAGGTCATAAAGTTAACACTCTGATGTAAAAGAAGCAACATTGGTTTCAAACACAGTATCACACTGTATTTGTCTGTGAAGGTTCTCAGTCATCCAGGTCATCGTAGTCAAAGGAGCTTGCAAAGAAAAGCGTCTGGACTTCTTTAAGTTACTTGAAGACGTTTCACCTCTCATCCGAGAAGCTTCTTCAGTTCTAAGGTCAAATGGTGGAGAGTCCCAGATATAAACCTAGTGGGAGT